AGCAACATTTCTGAGTAAATAAAATTATTTCATCATACAGATCTCACATGCTGGAGTATGATAATGCAATGCTAATTGCACATTATGTTGACATTGCAAGCATATTTTCTATAACATTTGCATTCATATACAGGTTGTAAAGCACATGAAGATACACTGAGTCATGAATCATGTTACTACTTTCAAGCTAATCCTCAAAACCAGAATCTTCAGTAAATTAATTAATATTTGAATGTTGCATGTTCAGCATTTACTGAACAGACCAACTCATCTCAGGCTCAAGAATTGAGGATGGCAGCCTTTAAAGAGAAATGTCATCATTATCTGACTACTTTTGTTATGATAGACCTTCTTATTAATATAGGTATTACTGTATTGAAGTATGTTTTTACCAGTAATTTTCAAGTTAGTAGGTGAGAATAAAATGAAAATGTTATATAGCCTTCCGCAGCTAATATAGACCAGGTAATGCAGAATGTGTTACCTGAATAATTTTTCTTCCCTTCCTAATATATAATATACCTATTTCTAACAAGGCCAAAACCCACCGAAAAACAGCAGCAATCTAAAAGTAAACAAGTATGCAGTTAAGACTTAATGAACCAATTTGTGTTTACAAAACTGTTATTTGTGGCCACGAGTCTTCATTCTTATGAATCTAAACAATTAATGCTTTTGAGTCAAGTAGACTTAACCTTGGTTCTTTAAGAATCTCAGACTGACTAAATTTTTTCTAATGGCATGTTTTATCTATTTTTTTTTGTCAAGGCAAAAATATTAAACCATAAGATGCAAGAAAACTAATATTTAAAAGGTTAAGATTTCTCTTTTTTTTTTTTTTACTTTGTCCATGAAAATTCCAGAACTTCAAAGGGAACTTAAAGAAAAAAGTCAAAGTAGGGTAGAAAATAAACTTCTAATCATTAATGTTTTACTATACTTTTCTTCATAAATCAGCATTATCTTAAAGTACCTAGATAATGAATAACACTTGAAATTTGAATTTTAAAATATAAAAGGAAAATAAAATTAACAGAAATTATCAAGCAACAGGAACATAACTAAAATGTTATTTTTTTTAACCCTCAGAACCAAGACTTGAATATATATTAAGGCTCAAATATATATTAGCATTTTATAACAGAAAAGGAAATTATTTTCTGTCATTCTTGAGGTATTTGCTATTATTTTAAAAGAATATATTTTTAAGAATGAAACAGTGTTTTATAGAAAACTGGAAAAAAATGGAGTCTATGTAACTATTAATTTTTTGGTATTTTGAAAAGGTCAAACAATGTGTATGTTTAGATTTAAAGAGTATTCATAAACGGAATGACTCTGACATGTTATAGAAGAAAAGCATTTGGATTAATTTATATTAATCTACAATATAAATGCCAGAGTCTTATGCTTTCCAAATTCTTAAGAGGAGTAAAATGAAATGCTTTAACAGAAGTCAATATGATCTAGATGTGTGTAGCTATTAGATGGAAAAAATGGGAATTGTTTTGTTGCTTTAGTTAGTTTGGTCTTTAATTTTAGGTAAACGGAACTAGTGAGTACTATTTCTATATTTAAATCTTATTTAGACACATGAAAAAGCATATTTTTGCATCTTATGCATAACATAATCTTATACAATGACTTCTAGCTGTGCTAGCATTGCCATGTCCATATTTGATCCTGTTAAAACCTTATTTCTATCTATATACTTATAAGTGAAATGGAATTTGATGATAATCATAATACTCAGAATGTGAATCATACTAGTTTAATGCATTACATAAAGCAAATGGTTAACTAATTTACAATGCTGAATATTAGATTATGGTGAAAACCAATTTATTAAACTAAGGTGAAAACTAATGCAGTATCATATTAAGTCCTAAGGTGATGCTTTAAAATAAAAATATTTCTGAAAGCCATTCCTTATAGAGTTTTGGAAAGCATTCCAACGTAGAGCTATAGAATTATAAGTGATTTTTTTTCTATAAAAAAACCGAAAGTATGCTTTTATTTTAAGTAAACAATTTCTCCTATTGAAAAACCCTGGTAAGATTGAGTAACTTGTGGAATTTTTCAGATAAAGCTATTTTCTCTCCTAAGAGAGAGTCAGACCCGTACTATCTCTTGTCCTGATACATTTTAAACTTATGGATACAAATGTATAATGAAAAGGATTCTTTTATACTTTTGAAGTTTATTTATGGTCTCTAGAGACTTCCACAGTGTAGTTTTGTCTTCCCTTTTTGGTTGCAATAGCCCACTAGATAGTATATATAAATGAGAACATGGCTTTAGTCACAACTTCATCCTATCAAACTAGATCAGTATAAATAAATGTAGGTATTACAGTCAATTTTCATGCCCCAAATAAGATTGTATGTAAGTAGTTACAGAAATATAATATGTTCACCAATTAATTGGATAATTTTATGCCATCTATGCCAGTTTTTTTAGGTATACTTGTGTTTATTTGTTCAGAGTAAGGAAATTTCTCACAATGTTAAACATTATTAATTTGTTAGAAATAAAGTAAGAATAACTAGGGACAGAGTGCGAAAGTATTTACTCTAGCAATTGAAGTAATCACTTGTGATTTAAACTAATTACAAGTGAGTTGTTAACATATTGGGTTGATATTAATTTGTTGCTAATGTTAGGTGCCCTTAAATCAATTTTCAACTATAGTGATCCCAGGTGCTAGAGTAGAATCAACCTACAGGGATTTTCTAGGCTGTTAACCTTTAGGAGAGCAGACTGCCAAGGCTTTCTCCCAGAGTCTGTGAGTAGATGTAAACCACTAATCTTTATCAACTGGGTACTGATAACTTACCAAGACAGTTAAAATTGTGTTTTATCCATGACCAAACTATAAATCCATTTTAAAGTTGAAATAAAGCTCCACTTATTTATCAGAGTAGTCTGATGGCTTAGCGGTAAGGAGTGGTACTGCCACCCCAAAGATATGTGGTTCAAATCCAACAGCTGCTTCTTGGGAGAAAGATGCATAATCTCCTTCCATGTGACTCATCGCATCTAATAACCAGCTATAAGTTGGTTCAGACTCAAAGGTACACAAAGACAACAACAACAACTTGCTTATCAAATTCTTAGTAATTTTATAATATCCTAATATTTACATTCTTTATTCTAAGACATCTACTGCATATTTAAAGAACTCATAAGTCAGAGCCATAAACACTCAGAACTATGCTAATTTTCTTCACATTGATATCCATATGCTCTTTTGCAAAAAAAAAAGATCAGAGTAAATTCTTCTTTGGGATCTTTTCAGCAAGGAAAAGTATGTATTTGAATATGGATTCTAGGTAGTCATAAATAATCAAGTGGCTAGCAATAACTTTGGGAATAAGCTAATTATATATCAGCCCAACATTAGCCTTGGAATATGGCTTTTAAAACAAACTACATCTAATTTACAACTCTGCGTGCCAATTATGTAGCAAGTGAGTTAAACTAGCTTGGTTCACTCAGTTCTCCTATTTTGGGAGCATTTCTCTGATTTACAGGAAATTGCTTTTAATGAAGTAAATGGTGGTGAAATGTTTACAAGTTTTGCAAATAACCTGCATCAGTGAAAAAAAAAATACTATTGTAGAAAGAAGTTTAAATTAATTGTTAAAAGGTGGCTATTGTACTTTGAGGATCTCAGTATCAATGATAATCCTATTTAGATTTTTTATGGAAAACTGAAAGTTCACTCACCATTCCTGAAACTCCAACCAATACAGGGATTAAATTGATATAAAACTAACATAATAACTGTGAAGAGGAATAAAACTTCCTACTCTGAAAAAAAATCCCAAACAAACACAGGGAAAATTGAATGACTAGTTCTATCTAACTACCAAAATCTTCTATTTGATGTCATTTAGACTATTTTCTGTGGTGCAGTGTAAAACTACCATACTAGATCTTGTATAATGAGTTGACCTCAAAACTGAGAGACTAGCTCAGTAAGTGTGAAACATTATCTTATATTGAAATGTCACCTTTTCTACTCTTGCAGAACAGAAGAAGTTGTGTTTAAGCTTATGGGTCATCTTCCCTTTTGTGATTTACTGCCTCTGAAAACCCGCTGGAGGGTCAGCTCTGGGTCAGTTCCAACTCGATGGTACAACCACAACACACCCACTGAAGATACACTTTCCAAATAAAATTAGCTGATAAAAGGAAAAAAAAATTAGGAATATTTTGTTGCTACCACCATTTTCTGTTCTTTGACAAGACTCCCAATAAAAAATAAAAATAAAATCTAACTTAATTTGTGTTTATTTTTAAGCCAAGTATATTTTCTTCCATATTATACCATAATATGACTTTACTAGATTCTTACTAAAAAATTATATTACTATTAAGTAGCTAAATTTTGACATATAGGAATAAAGGTGTTGGGTAGTAAGGTTGGAATATTTATAGCACTTTATAATGTGCTATAGAAATAATAAACCCATCTTGTACTTAATTCTATCATAAAGCAACTTCAGGCTTCTAAATATTTTTTCTTCATTTTAAATGGTTACTATAATAAGAGAATTCATAAAGTAATATATTATTAGTGCATTTTTAAAGTCAAAATCCATTTTATCTAGAAAATAATTTTAACACTGTAATGAGATCTTCAAGATCAATTCTGTTTTATATATTCTGCAACAAAAATAACATTTCTAGTAAGAAGGAATTCAATATAAACCTAGCAAATTCTAGACATTCACATATTTATGTAAACAACTTTAACATGGTTTATTACATTTCTCGAAAGGCTAAATCCTATATTCAGTTTTCAGCTAATTCTTCACTCATATATAATAATAAATATATATATTATCTGAGTGCCTGTATGTATATATTTTCACATATATATATGCCATATATACATTAAAAAAGCACTTAACGGTCTCTTTCTTTGCATGTTTAAGCTGGAAAAGAAAATCAATTGCCATTATGCATAACCCATAGTGCTCTTCTTGTCTGTTTCACAAATGGCCATATCGAGGTGTAAATAAAACATTGGAGCGAGCCATTCCAGATGAACTGTATCTCCAGCTGTAGGATGGTGTTCTCATGAAAAATTGTGTGCTTCCAGGTAATAAGTACCTAAAAATGATAGTTAAAAAATTAGTTTTTAACAAACAAGCTATCATTAGCATTTCTCACTAAAGGATTATGAGATTAGAAATGTATCTATCTATCCTACATGAGAAAAATATACTATCAAAACCATTAAATTCACATAAATAATTCCTTAAAGTCTCACTCAAAGTACTGAATACAGATGCAACATATATCCTGGGCATTAGTATCCCAGGGAATTCCGTAAAAAGACATTGAAATCTATGAAACATTATGTGGCTCATATTAATTTTAAATTTATCATCAATATCTATACTTGGACCAAGAAGCAGTTGTCAGACCAGAGCAGGGTAACACTGCACAGTTTAAAATTGGGAACGGTGTACACCAGGGATGTGTCCTATCTCCATACCTTTTCAACCTGTATGCAGAGCAGATTATTCGAGAGGCGGGGCTCTATGAGAAGTGTGGCGTCAGGATTGGTGGAAGATCTATTAACAATCTGCGTCATGCAGATGACACAACCCTGCTTGCTGAAACTGAGAAGGACCTCATGCATTTGCTGCAGAGGGTATGGACTGAGGCTC